AGAGATGTCGATATTTACCGCTAATCTATATTAGATACCAAATAAAAATCAATTCTATCAAATTTGATTCTGGTTTTTGAATTTAAGAAAAAACTGATTTCAATTACCAAAATATAAACGTGGGCCTTTACAAAAACCTTTTTAAAAAAGCCTCGCAGACTGTAAAAGTCAATATGCTAATAAATGATCGATTATTCCTGGCATGGAATTGTTGAAACCCGCTTGAAGAATTCCCAGAACGAACTCGAAATCCATGCCAAAACCAATACGGTAGATCATTATTGACGAGACTGCTTCAACCATGGTGATCAGAAACTCAGATAATATGTAGCTTTTTGATGTCCATTCAGATTTAAGAAGAATCACACAACTCCTTTGCGTCAACAAGTGTAAATGTCAGTTAAGAAAGTGTTGGAAAATCTAATAACGATTTAATGCATTTCCATAATTGTAATAAGTGAGTTTTCTGGTGGCTTAATGGCAAGAGCTTTAGATGATATTTTGATGATAGAAATACCATATATCTGTGTTAGCAGTGTTGAAACATTGAAAGAGATTCCAAGCCACAGTGCCATATACAATCACAACGCATTTTGTATCTCCTTTTCCAATTCTAGTCTAATTAAAATTATACCAACTTTCGTTCCGTTTTTTTTTCTTAGCTTTTATTTTTAACATAGCCACTTCAGTTGGAGTCTAAGGACAGCTCTCTTAAACGTTCATCAAATTAACGTTAACTGCTTTAACCTATCAAATTTCTACCCTCTCCAGCGCTGGCATTTTGTGACGCGGTTTGGTCAAAATGTTAATTTGACGAACGTTCAAGAGGGCTGTCGTTAGACCTTAACTGAAGTGACCATATTTAAATCAAAAGCTAGGCTGGACCAATTCTGGAAACACAGAAGACGACCACAGTTGCTACAGGGAAAGAATTAGATGGGGTGGAGCACAGTATCCCACTTTCTTTCTTCTCACGAATAGCAACTGCTCTGTTGGCTTCAAAGGCCCTGGTTTCTAGAGAGCACTGGAGTTCCACAGCGCTCATTCGTGGGCATATGTGCAATTAAAATATAATCTTTATTAAAATATTTAAAGAAGTAAGGAGGTTATAGCCTTTCAACTCAATTTCTTTCAGTTTTGAAATACACAATACACAGTTAAAGAGGGCCAATTTTGAAATAAACCATCTCAAAAGCTATTAACAAGGCATTCCACACTCAATAACTTCTTTATTATGTCAAATCTAAAGCTCTCCGTACAATCCTCATCATGCTTAAAATGAGTACTTTGTGGAGTTCTTGAAATCTTCCGTAATCCATGCCTGAGGTTTTATATATCATTTGACGACATGAAGTCAAAAATAGTTAATATTGGTTGGCGATTAGTGCAAGAAACCATGCAAGTATGAAAAGAGGCTACAAGCCGAAACGGGCATAAATGCATTAATCAAAAAATCTTAATGGATATACGTTCAATATTAAACCACATTCGCAAACACGAAACGATGTTCCCATCTGTGCAAATTGTGATATCACGACCAAATCCGTTATATGAGGACAAGATCAAATGCGATATTTCCCTTAATGCAAAATCTATTTCTTATCATTCGCACCAGATAACCCTAAATAAACCACGAGATGTTTGTGCAAAATCAGCAGAAAGACATCAACATAATCAAAAGATGTAAGGAGCTTGTCGACAAGAAATCAGCTTTACGTTAATCAGTTATCAGAACCTTTCTTCACAAATCAAATAAAAAGCGGCGGTCAAAGGAGAAAAGCCATCATTAAATCACTCCGCCGTCAAATAGTCAATTACACTAAATTACAAGATGGCCGACTCGTCAGCCCAGACCAGACGTCTGCCTTAGCACGATGTCGTCTGGAGTTTTGACCTTTCTTCCAGAGGTCATTTCTCCAGTAGTCTATTAAGTCCAATCAACAACGGAGTATTGACTATTGGAAGAACAACCACTCGAAGATGAAGACTGAAGGAGATAGAAGAAAATGATTTCATGTCGTTTTTGAGCTCCTTGATCAATCGTTTCAATATTTAAACATAGAATTTATGAGTTGAGGACTTGGGTTCAGGGAAAATTTGGGTCTAATGTACGACATTTGAAATGAAATAAACTATGTTACGGTTTAAAAATGGAAACTCGAGAAATCTGAACTGTTCATAAAACCAAAGCCACCAAAAAGTTCGATTTCTTTAGACTCGTTTTTTGTAGATTGACCTTTCTGGTTAAAACTTAAAATTATATAAATTTTGCATCGACGATGACTGTCCAAACATTTTCCAAATTCGCTAGATTTAGCTTTGGTTGTAAATTACTCAAATAGGAATGATTGAATATTGACCAGCCTCACGAAGTCCTACCATCTATTTGTCTGTAACAAATGATACATGGATGCGAAATTACATCTTCAGTCTCAAGTGAACATTTTCTAATCTAATGGCTGTCAAATCTAATTCAAGACAAATAACTGAAGACACGGAATTTCATTGAATCTGAGAAGAAACATTAGAAGACAAAAAATCCGCCATGAATCCAGTTGTGCTAACCTGTATATAGGTTTTCTACTTCAGATGTCACTGATAAAGGTATATAAATGATATATCAGTCCCACTTATCAATTATTAGTCAAAATCGATTGACTGCACAAAAGAAAATGAAAAGGTTGAAGCTAAGCAATTCCTGCATTTTCAGAAAAGAAGTTGATCAGATGACGTTACTCTGATAAAATTAAACTGAAATCGTATTTGTAATTGTTGTTGTATAAAAACGTCGTAAACAGTCTTTGTGTCATATCTTGCAAAATCCAGTGTCTTAAACTTGCCAACTTAATTTAGATTCCAGATCAGGGGTTTTCAGTATTTTTCTTTTTCTTTTTATGCATTACCACCCTTAGTTCTATAAATCCTTACAAGTTTGTGATTTTCTCTTAGGTTTTATCTGACAATTTGTAATGTCGGAGACTATAGTCGTGACTTAATGGAACGACTTAATTTTTAAATGTTTAAAATTTAATGCAATACTTCGTCTCCCCTCCCTCTTCCCTCCAAACAAATATTTCAAACCCTGTTCTAGATCAAGAAGGTGTGCAATATTGTTGTGATATTTCAAGACATTAGATTCTCTTTCTACTGTATTTTATTCTTATTCAACGTGAAGATAATTACTGGTCTTATGTGAATGTAAAAACATACAGTGTACAGATTGGGGTAATAATTTATAGTCTCAGAGATAACCTACAATAACAGTCTACAACAACTAACAAACATCGTGATCACCGCATCCATACTATTTTGTCATTTATATATTTATTGCTGTGATGATAAATGGAAGCATCACAAAATTATTTGAACCGTACTGATAAGTTTTAAATGACTTTTTCAGAAATTTCAATCGAAAATATTTTCATTTTGGCTGAAATTGTCCTCAGCAAAACTATTTCTTCTAAAATGTGTGCTCTGGTTAATAGTGTTTTTTTATTAACGCAAGTCAGTCAGTCTTACACTAATGTGATATTCCACTTCACAAATATCCATCGTCCCATTGTATTAAAATATAACATCTGTATCGGTTTGTGTTACCTTTTCGCGCGAAAAGATAATAGTTCATACAATTATGTTATAGTCCAAGAGCTAGCTACGGGTGATTTTACCCCAAAAAACCCAGAAGGTTTGATGGTTTCAATGAATTAGGACTATGACAGACATTGAAAAAATGTTCGTCAGCTGGTACAGATCCGGTGGGTGTGGCCCCTATGGCATGTCAAAAAACCCTTGAAAAAGGTTTATTTTAATATTCAAGCTACATAGTTAATACAATGTTATGTTACTACACATATATTCAAAACTCAAAACAATATGAACTGACCAAATATTTTGGGGGGTTTGTGGGGTCAGCTGCCCCTAAAAAGTCACCCAACATGGGCCGATTTTACCCCAAAAGCTACACATGCCAAATTAATACAGTATAAGAAACATTTCATGAGAAGATAAAAAACACAAAAACTAACAAAATATCTTGGTGGAAAAAGGGGGTCAGCTGGCCTCCAAAATCACTCCATTTTGTGACAAAGGGGTAAAATATTTTTACCCTAAAAGCTACATATTTCAAATATCTGTGATATGAGGCTCAACCAACCTGAATCGTAATGGGATAAAAACTGACAAAAAATTCTAGTGGAATGATGGGTTCAGTTGCCCCCCCCAAAAAAAAACAATTAAATTTGGAGTACAGTCCTGAAATTTTGAGAATAGATAGATGATATACCAGAAATAATGAAAACATAAAAACTGACAATATCTAGTGGTGGGAAGAGGGGGTCAGCTGCCCCCAAGATCTGACCCTCTTTGACCCTTACGGGTAAAAAAACAATTAAATTTGGAGAACAGTCCTGAAATTTTGAGGATAGATAGGGGATCAGCTGCTCCAAAAATCTGCCCCTCTTTTGCCCTTATGGGTCAAAAAAAAAGTTGCATATCAAGATACGCCAAATTCCCCAAGAAATTATCAGTATATCAAGTGCATTCTTCAATCAGTCAAATTGTACCAAAATTCTTCCTCAAGATATTGTTAATTTGTGGACTTAAATTGTCACCTCTATCGAGTTCACAATCCACATTTAAAGTAATTGTGTTTTATAAAAATCAGATAAAAACTGTAGTTTCTATTGTGTTCAAGGGCAATAAGTCAAAAAACCATTATTAAAAAATCATCAAATTCGAACATGAGCAAGATCACATTTTTATACATGATCACACCAGATTTCATTTAAATCGGATGAAAAATTTAGTCTCTATTGTGTTCACAAACAAAGTTTTTACAAAGGCAATAACTCAAAAACCGTAATCGAAAAATCATAAAATTCAAACTTGACCAAGAACTCATTCATTGTTATATGATTTCTTTAAAATCAGATGAAAACTGTAGATTCTACGGTATTTACAAACAATTTGTGAAGCTTTTTTACTAAGTCAAGGGCATTATCTCAAAAATATAGTCCCTTATTGTGTTCACAAACAAATTTAGATACATTTTTACTATCACTACTACTGGCATCACTTTCATCATCATTCGTATCATCAGAATCACTACCATAAGATGCCTCCTCTGTAGAATCATCTGGAATATAAAAATATTTGAAACATAGTTTTTTCACTCAGAACTGATGTCATCTTCTGCCATGCTTCAATAGTCCATTATCATTGTCAAGCAGAGTGAGTGCATAATTCAAATATTCTCAAATTCATGCTGAACAATGATTTTGTAACTTGTCTGTACTATCATTGTCATCTTCTTCATCGGATAATCTCTCACAACACTGCATTACATCAACAGTTTTAGGGTGCAATTTACCTTCTGCCCACATAATGATGTAGCTATCATTTTCCATTGTCCATCCAGACTCAACAGGTGAGATGGGACTATGCTGAACAAGCGTAACAGAATTCCACCTGTAAGCAATGAGGTGTGCATGTTTTATTTTCTGGGTCAGGACTTTCTGGCATGGGGGCAGGACACTACCGTCCATCTTTATCAAACAACTTATTCTTGCGTTATCAGATTTACCACAAGTTTTGTACTTTTCTAGGAAGATCTGTAACCGTACGTCATTTATAGATGACGCTTCTTCTTACCATACATGTGAACTTTTCAATTACTGACATTGTGTCTTCTGTAAGACTAGGATTTCTTAAGTTGGTAAATGCTACTTGCATTGAAGAACTTTTTTCCAGCATCCAGCAATTTTTACCTTTCCGATCATCCAGTATGGTATGCTGGAAATGCTGTACACAAAGACTTGCCTATGTTTTGTGCAAGTTTTGTCAAGTGAATATATCTCCTTGAATTGTTTAGATAATAGTCCAGTGTCAATCCAAACATCGTGGTTGCTAAGCCTTCATTATGATCCAAGGCCAATCACCAAGCAATCAGTGTCATTTGTTCTCATAACAACAGTCTTGTTCCCATTCATGCTGAATTTCATTCTTTGTGATTACAGGAAAAAGTTGGTGCCTCTGCTTTAATGACTGAATAACCATCAATAGCATATTTCTCCATTGTTTGCATACAAGATCTTCTTCCCAATATTTTGCATTGCTATCCTCTGACCAGCTTGCAACTAGATATTTTATAAGCGATTTTTTGAAAATGGCATTACGCAGTGCACTAATCCAATTGCCTGGTCTCTGATTTCCACAAGTTATTTGGAAATTATCCACCAACCAATCTCTTGTAGTTCTTTCACAATCTTTGATAGATGGAGATAGCCACTTGTCGGAAACAAAAGGAATTTCATCACCATCTGAAGAAATAATCTTCCACAATATGTGTGATGAGACACCACACCACCAAATTTTGTTGGAAGGAAGGCATCAATTACTGTAGCATCAACTTGTTGAGTCTTTGATGCAATCTTAGTCTCTAGATATTGCATAAGAGCAGACTTTGGTGTTTTCATCATTGTTCCATCTACTTGACCTTTTATCTGTACACTGAAGTTGCTTTCCTGTTGTTGCAAATTAATGTACATAACTTTTGACGAGTAATCTTTTCCAGAAAATTATTTGGATCACTTTGACATTCAGCCATGAACTTTATTCTTCCAGATTCACCTATATCTTTTACATTAAGTACAAATTTCTCCACTTGTTCAGGAGCCGTCTTACCAGTACCGATATTGTAGAGGTGGCTCGGATCTATTTCATCTTTGAAAGGATTCCTAGTTTCTCTAGCCATGGCGATATTGGCTTCGACTGTATTATTGTCTTTCTTCATTACATGCCTTTAGACCATTTGAAAAGTCCTCTTTCTTGTCTATTCCAAGCTTTTGATACATATTTGACAAGATTGATGTCTGAATAAAGTGGGATTCTGCCCATCTTTGCCTTGCTGATGTTGAGTTGGTTAGGGCTATTTGACTGATCTTTGACTGGCAGCATCTTTGTTAATTGTTTGCTCCAATGTTAGGTCCACAAGACTGCCAGAAAATGGCTTCTTTTCATTCCTTTTACAGAAAACTGTCCATTTCTGAACACATATATTTCAGGATGCGAATCCTTAAGTACCAGCAAATTGTTGTGATAGTTAATTGTCGGATGGACAAGAAATAGCTAGACATTTGCAGTAAGGGATTTGTGTATTCATCTAAATGTCCCATTCTGACACTTCGACTGTATCTATGATACAAATGAATAGCACCAAAACTGTGCTATCTTCCCATTCTTTCCAGTTAGAAAATTTGTATGAAGACAGCATGTCATCGGTTTCTTTTGAGTATTTGTATGTGTTGATGTTCTTTGACTCTTCTAGGGCAAAAGAGGGTCAATTTTGGGGGCAGCTGATCCCCTCTTCCCACCACTAGATATTGTCAGCTTTTATGTTTTCCTGATTTTTGGTTAATCATCTATCTATCCTCAAAATTTCTGTACTCCAAATTTAATTGTTTTTTTACCCATAAGGGTCAAAGATGGTCAGATTTTGAGGGCAGCTGACGCCCTCTTCCCACCACTAGATATTGTTAGTTTTTGTTTTTCTGTGAAACATTTGACATAATCTATGTTCACTATAATTATAAAAAGTGTAGGTCATGGTCAGTTTTTTTTACCCCTTGTGGGAAAAAGGGACAAATTTTGGGGGGCAACTGACCCCATCATTCCACTTGAATTTTTTGTCAGTTTTTATCCCATTACGATTCAGGTTGGTTGAGCCTCATATCACAGATATTTGAAATATGTAGCTTTTAGGGTAAAAATATTTTACCCCTTTGTCACAAAATGGAGTGATTTTGGAGGCCAGCTGACCCCCTTTTTCCACCAAGATATTTTGTTAGATTTTGAGTTTTTTATCTTCTCATGAAATGTTTCTTATACTGTATTAATTTGGCATGTGTAGCTTTTGGGGTAAAATCGGCCCATGTTGGGTGACTTTTTAGGGGCAGCTGACCCCACAAACCCCCCAAAATATTTTGTCAGTTCATATTGTTTTGAGTTTTGAATATATGTGTAGTAACATAACCAATGTATTAACTATGTAGCTTGAATGTTAAAATAAACCTTTTTCAAGGGTTTTTTGACATGCCATAGGGGCCACACCCACCGGATCTGTACCAGCTGACGAACATTTTTTCAATGTCTGTCATAGTCCTAATTCATTGAAACCATCAAACCTTCTGGGTTTTTTGGGGTAAAATCACTCGTAGCTAGCTCTTGGACTATTATGTCTATCCAACTTCTTCTGGGTAAGTTTCTTGATGCCTTGGTCCAATTGGTAAAGGTTACTATTGTGGATTCATAGGACTGGAGACAGTTCTACTTTAAGTTTTCCTAACAAGTTATTATATATTATCGAAATTACTAGACAAATAAAATGTGGAAGATAGACAAAAACAATATTAAATTTCGACTTAGAAACCGTAGAACATTTTAGTATTTAAAGGTATCCCCGATATGTATGAAACGAACTTGTTTGTCTTTATTCTTACACGGTTTATATATTGTTATGTTCTTCCTCATGGGCTGAATGTTAAACAAGAAACATTAAGCTTTGGTGTAATGAACCTTATTATCTCCCTGTGAAATTGCGTACAGACAAACTCAACTCAGCACGTCACAAGGCATTGTCACATACAGACTAAGACTAAATCACCAAATTCAACCTTCCATAACTTTAGGCATTGTCACATACAGACTAAGACTAAATCACCAAATTCAACCTTCCATAACTTTTTAAGAAAGAAGATTCTAAAAATAACATGGACTACATTCCAAATTCAACCTTCCATAACTTTTTAAGAAAGAAGATTCTAAAAATAACATGGACTACATTCCAAATTCAACCTTCCATAACTTTTTAAGAAAGAAGATTCTAAAAATAACATGGACTACATTCCAAATTCAACCTTCCATAACTTTTTAAGAAAGAAGATTCTAAAAATAACATGGACTACTTTCGTATACAATCATTTACATAAAAAGAATCCATACGAAATTAAATAGACAAATAAATGCCTATCAGTATACGAAACTATGCAGTTCAAGTTAACGCTGAACCACCATTGATCGCACCAGCCACGTGAAGGGACAACACATTTTCATCAACATAATCTCTGGCTTCTTACTTAATCAGAGATAAAAATTCAAAGGCATCATATAATGTAAACATTTCCGTGAACAAATATCAACACAAATAAATATCTCTCAACATTAGTTTCATATTCTGTTTGCTAATGAGAAGTCCTCTGAAACTCTGAGCTACGCACCGAAAATCTTACTTGGGCTACCAATGCAACAGAGACCCGTGCTTGGGACGGTGGTATTATTCTGTGATAAAAATGGCGTTGCCAGTGCCATCTTAATCATTATTGTATTCGTTAATTATATAAATGACAATGATTAAGTAAGAGGTGGGGAAAGGTGGTTTGGATTTTTTTCAGTAAGTGAAGTTGCCACGGTGAGGTGCCACGAAATACATTCCACTTTTCCGACTTTAAGGCATTCACATTGTCACGTAACGGTACCGCAAATTTGGATATATGCTATATAAAACAGACACACAAAAAGAATACCTGAAATTAATCGCTTTATTGTTTGAAATACTACAAAGCATCGCGAATTTAATCTATCAAAATACAAGATACAAAGAAGTGGACGAATGGTACCATGCCCTAAAATGACCGTTAACTGTATGTAAATAAACGGAAATTGGAACTATAAAGCTAAAAGAAGATTAATTGATAAAGGTTTATCTCATATCGAATGCTGTTCAGCTAGACGACAGACTATTTCTATTTCCAGAAATAAATAGAACGGAGTAGTCCGGATATCATGCGTATATAATCTACCGGGATCACTAAAATAACATTAGATCAACTAACTGACCATAGCTGGTATTTCACTGGACATGAACTTCATTAGTGTCCAGACATTGATCAATCAATATTTCAAATACAAGTGGTCAATCAGCTTCTTTCATCACTTGACCAATCAACCATCTAACACTTTTCTCAAAGAGTACTGTTGCTGAGAATAACTTGAAATTCTACAAAACTGTTAGATTAAGTACTCCATTTCTGGAGTAGTAGGTATTATAATGGTTCCGGTTCTAAAAATGTGATTTGACCGAAGCTGTCAGTCATTACCGTGATTGTTACAGAGCGCTAGCGTAACTTTAACGGTTGTCCGTTTGCTAGTCTCGTGTGCCAGCTTTCGGTTTCCACAAAATTTGACAAAGAAAAATGAGACGAATACACATGTCCTGAGAAAATATCGCTGCATGCCTTCATTTGCCTCATCAGTAGCATTATATTGGTTTGAAATGTGCTTCACTGTAAACTTATCAGCAAAAGGCAGTCAGCTATATTTAGGACCTTCCTGTCTTTTTCAAACTGAACCAAATTATGTTATACTACTAGGCCCTTTAACTCTGTCTGTGGGCAAAATCCACTGTCCGACAATCTACAAGTAGTGTTAATTACATGTGATGCTTAAGCCCCCTGCGCTGGATTTAAGGAAATGCTTTTAAAATTCAGTG